TTAAGAAATATTAGTTATCTTCGAAACCAAAAAAGGACAGCAATAATGATACTTATCATGGTGATGATGATAAAGATAATAATAGTGATAATGATAATGATAACACATGATGATGATGATAACGATAATATAAAAAGATATATTTATCTAAGCTATCACTGGGGAGATAAAGATAATAATTGCAGTATTTTTATGAATATTGCTGTTATCATTAGTAGTAGCACTATTGGTAAAGTTATCTTGTCATTATTATTGATATTATTGTTATCATTAGTTGTAATATTTGTAGTATTGCCATTTTTGTTATCACCATCATTATCATCATCAATGTTACAGTAGTAGTAGTAGTAGTAAACACACAGCGACAATAATAATGATAATAATAATATATCATAATGAAGATGAAGATGGTAATTATCATAATAAAAATAATAAGAAAAAATAATGAGGATGAGAGTGATTATGATAGTAATAATAATAATAGAATTATCTTGATGAAAATGAAGATGAAGATAGTAATTATCATAAAATAATAACAATAAGAAAAAATAATGAGGATAAGAGTGATGATAATGATGATAATAATGATAATAAAGCAAAATAAATGTACTACAAACGCGAACGATATGATTGGTGACAACTGGCGCCAATTTCATTATCATAACACTATCATTATCATCATGGTATTATACAATCACCGTGGTTATTCTCATCTTTACTATTATCCTCAACCATTATCAAAATCATCGGCGTCATCAAGCCACTGCCAATTGTCCCTAGCATTACAAACTTTGATATTTTTAAAACAGTGACGATAACCATGCCACCATCAACTACAACACTAACAACAGCAACAACAACAATAACTATGCTGACAATATTAATAATGGCTTTAAATCAGGTTATTAGGAACGATACGAACCACTGGCATGACCGACAATAAATTTTCTTTGCAGAAAAAAACAAATAAACTTCACAGTGACGTCATCACCCAATAACACCCAGTAACAATGCCATCAAACCCGACCAGTGACGTCATCAAACACAACCAGTTACGTCATTAACTACACACTGTGATGCCAACAGATCCAAACAGTGACGTTATCAGACTCAACCAGTGACGTCACTACTCAATCAGTGACGCCAACCCCAACCAATGACGTAAACAACCCCAACCAATGACGTCATCACACCCAACCACTGACGCCATCAGACCCAACTAATGACGTTACCAACCTCACCCAACAACCTCTGACGCCACCAAACCCAATTCATGACGCCACCAAACCCGGATTTAATGACGTCATTACACCCAACCAGTGACGCAATCAACCCCCCCCAAAAAAACTCACCAATCCCACCCCACCCACCTACCTAACAACCTCACCAAACCCCACCCCACCAAAAACCTCACCAAACCCCACCACCTACTCACCAACCTCACCAACCCCACCACCTACCTAACAACCCACCAAACCCCACCCCACAACCTCACCAACCCCCACCCCACCTACCCATCAACCTCACCAACCCCCACCACCCCCACCCCACCCCCCCACCCACCCCCACCACCCCACCAAACCCCCACCTACCAGTAGTACGGGATGAAGAGGACCGCCGGCAGGGTCATGGTGATCTGGAGCCAGCGCCAGGAGGGGATCCCCCAGGCCAGCATCGCCGCCGTGAAGTAGCCGACGGTGTAGAAGGCCTGGGCGAGGACCCCGACCAGCACGCGCCGCTTCTTGCCGACCAGTTCCATCGCTGCGGGAGGAAGGAGGGATGGGGGTGCTTAGTTGGGGGAGGGGAGGGGGTTGGGGGGGAGGGGTAGGAGGGGGTGTGTGGAAGGGGGGTGAGGAGGGGAGTGGGGGGGGAGGGATAGGAAGGGGAAGGGAGGGGAGGAGGGGGAAGGAGGGGTTGGAGGGGAGGAGGGGGGTGTGGAAGGGAGGGGTGACGAGAGGGTAGGAAGGGGGAGTAGGAGGTGAGGAGGGAGGGGTTGGAAGGGGATGAGGAGAGGGTAGGTGGGGAGGGGGTGAGGATAGTAGAAGGGGAGGGATAGGTAGGAAGGGGTAGGGGTGAGGGGGTAGGAGGGGAGGGGGTAATTAGGGGAAGGAGGGAGGGGAGGGGTAAGGAGCGGGTAGGAAGGGGGGGGGTTGAGGAGTTGAGGGGTTCTTTGGTGGAAATAATATGTTTTTTTTCTCTTTCTTCTCTCTTTTTTTTTCCCCTCTCATCCACTCTCCCATATGTGTCCACGTATACAGCTGCGCATGTCAATACATATATGTGTTCCAAATGACCCGCATTTACCATGGCAATAATAATAATCATTAACCTTCCATGAATAATTAACGAATGCCTTTACTCCCCTAAGGACCGACTGTGATGTTCGGAGGGACATGTCTGGTGTGTGTGTGGGGGGGGGGGGGGGCAAGGGAAGGACCTCAGCGACAAGATGGAGTTTTGTTTTGTTTATTCAATTTCTAAAACAATGTTGAATCCCTTGTTATATCAAGATATGAGGTTTTGTTTACTTTTTTAAACTTCTGAACTTTCATTGTGTAATTTCCTTTACGTGTCGAGAGATCCATTCCTATGCCTTCTCGTGCAGAAAAACGCTGGCATGCTAATTTCGTTGTAAGCCACTATATAGTCAGACATAATTAAATTCATGCCTACACACACGGGCGCACGTACACATGCATATGCACAGGCGTATGCACACGCACACGCACAGGCATTTGCATACGTACACGCACACGTTCGCACTCACATTCACACACACTCGTGTATATATGTGTACGTGTGTATGTATGTGTATGTATATATGTACATACATATGTATGTAATATGTATCTATATATGTGTGCGCATGTGTGTGTGTGTGTGTGTGTGTGTGTGTGTGTGTGCGTGTGTGTGTATGTGCATGTGTGTGTGTGTGTGTGTGCGTGTATGTGTGTACACATAGTATACATAGATATGCATATACATACACACACACATACATGACACATATATATATATATATATATATATATATATAATATATATATATATATATATATATTATATATATTATATATATATATATAACATATATAATTATATTATATATATATATATATATATATATTATATATATATATATATATATATATTATATATATATATATATATATATATATATATATATATATATATATATATATATGAATGTATGTATGTATGTATGACTTCTTACCCCACTTCTCATCACTGACCAAAGACGTGTCACACCTCTTCATTCTTCATTCTGACAACCTCTTCTTACACCACTCCACCCTCCCACCCCACCCCCAACCCCACCCACCCCACCCACCCCCCACCCCACCCCACCCACCCCCAACCCCACCACCCCAACCCAACCCCAACCCCACCCCACCCCAGCGAGACTCACCCATGACGTAGGCGACGAGGAAGACCCCCTGGAGGGACGCCCCGAGCACGAACCGGAGCGACGTGAAGGTGTAATACTCGGGGATGGCTGCCTGGCCCACCCCGACGACCACCATCAGCACTAAGGCACTCAAGAACACGGGTTTTCGGCCGAATCTGGAAGGCACGGGGGAGGGTCTTGAGAGGGTCTGAGAAGAAGGGCTTGAAAGGGGTGCTCTTAAAGGGTGTCTTTTGGTCTTGGAGAGGGTCTGAGAAAGAGCCTTGAAGGGGACTCTAAAGGTCTTTTTGGTCTTGAGAGGTCTGAGAAGGAGCCTTGAAGGGGCTCTAAAGGGTCTTTTTGGTCTTGGAGAGGGTCTGAGGAGTCTTGAAGGGGTGCTCTAAAGGGTCTTTTTGGTCTTGGAGAGTCTGAGAAGAAGGCTTTGAAAGGGGTGCTCTAAAGGGTCTTTCGGTCTTGGAGAGGTCTGAGAAGAAGAGCCTTGAAGGGGGCTCTAAAGGGTCTTTTTGGTCTTGAGAGGTCTGAGAAAGGAGCCTTGAAGGGCTCTAAAGGGTCTTTTTGATCTCGGAGAGGTCTGAGAAGGAGCCTCGAAGGGGTGCTCTAAAGGGTCTTTTTGGTCTCGGAGAGGTCTGAGAAAGAGCCTCTAAAGGTCTTTTTGGTCTGGAGAGTCTGAGAAGAAGAGCCTTGAAGGGGGCTCTAAAGGGTCTTTTTGGTCTTGGAGAGGTCTGAGAAGGAGCCTTGAAGGGGTGCTCTAAAGGGTCTTTTTGGTCTTGGAGAGGTCTGAGAAGAAGAGCTTGAAGGGGTCTCTAAAGGGTCTTTTTGGTCTTGGAGAGGGTCTGAGAGCTTGAGGGGGGCTCTAAAGGGTCTTTTTGGTCTTGGAGAGGTCTGAGACCTTGAAAGGGGTGCTCTAAAGGGTCTTTTTGGTCTCGGAGAGGTCTGAGAAGAGCCTTGAAGGGGGTGATCTAAAGGGTCTTTTTGGTCTTGGAGAGGGTCTGAGAAGAAGGGCCTTGAAGGGGTGCTCTAAAAGGTCTTTTTGGTCTTGGAGAGGTCTGAGAAGGAGCCTTGAAGGGGGTGCTCTAAAAGGCTTTTTGGTCTTGGAGAGGTCTGAGAAGAAAGCCTTGAAGGTGGGCTCTAAAGGGTCTTTTTGGTCTTGAGAGGTCTGAGAAGAGCCTTGAAGGGGGCTCTAAAGGGTCTTTTTGTCTCGGAGAGGTCTGAGAAGAAGAGCCTTGAAGGGGCTTTTGGTCTCGGAGAGGTCTGAGAAGAAGCCTTGAAGGGGGTCTCTAAAGGGTCTTTTTGGTCTCGGAGAGGTCTGAGAAGAAGCCTTGAAGGGGTCCTAAAGGGTCTTTTTGTCTCGGAGAGGTCTGAGAAGAAGCCTTGAAGGGGTCTCTAAAGGTCTTTTTGGTCTCGGAGAGGTCTGAGAAGAAGGGCCTTGAAGGGGTGCTCTAAAGGGTCTTTTTGGCTTGAGAGGTCTGAGAAGCCTTGAAGAGGGTTTAAAGGGTCTTTTTTTGGTTTTGAAGGTCGTGGCAAGGTCTTAGGAGAGTCTTAGAGGGATTGCGATGGGTCCTAGTCCTCGGAAGGTCGTAGAAAAGTTTTAACAGAAGCCTTGGGTGTGACTAATGGTTTACAGAAGGGTCTTTCACCTTGGAAGGGTTTAGAAAAGTATTTAAAAAGTAATGAAATGATTTGAGGAGGATCTCTGGTCTTTGGACGGTCTTAGCAGAGCCTTTGGAAGGAGTTTACGTCTTGGAAGGCTTTAGAAAGGTCTCATAATAGCTTTAAAAAGTGGTTTGGAAAGGTCTTGCATCATGAATAGATTGATTTACAAAATATGCTCATTGTAATAGAAACGCATATTTGTCTCTTTTCATACTGAATAAAATACTAATCATAATGGTAATCATAGGTTTCCCTAATAATAATAAAAAAAATCTTATGATAATAATGATAAGCATAAAAATCTGATAATAATAATAATTACCATAATAATTCTTATGGTAATAGGGATAATAATAATATCGATAAGATTATCATCAAGGATAATAATATCAATATTAATATTCATAACAGTCACAAAAATGATTAAAATCATTTCACCCAAAAATGTAATCATAATAACAACCAATTATGATTATAATAGCCATAGTAATACTGATAATCCTAGTGACCTAATGATTTAAAGTCATAGTAATAATGATCCTAGTGACCTAATGATTATGATTATAAGTCAAAGTAATACTGATGATCCTAGTGACCTAATGATTATGATTGTAAGTCATAGTAATACTGATAATCCTAGTCGCCTCAAACCGGACCACCCACCTGTCGGAGAGATCGCCGAAGAGGTAGGAGCCGACCAGCATCCCCACCATGTACACGCTCTGCACCGTCGCTCGCAGCCACGCGCGGTCGCACACGAGCTCGTACTGGCGACGAGGGGGGTCGAAATGTAAATGTGGTGGTGTGGGGGGGGGGGGGATGGTGGTGGTGGTGACTGGTAATGATGATGATGATGATGATGATGATGATGACCATGATGATGATGATGACTGATGATGATGTGACTGGACCATGATGATGATGATGACTGACCATGATGATGATGATGATGACCATGATGATGATGATGACTGATGATGATGATGATCTGATCATAAATAATGACTGATCATTATCATGAGCATGATGACTGATAATGATGATGATGACAATGACAATGATGATAAAGATAATGATAATTATCATCATCATGATTTCAGATTTATGATGGTAACAGTAATGACTATACCAATAACAATAATAATTCCAGCAAAATAAAAATTATAAACACAAATAAAATAACCACACCAATAATACAAACAACATGAACAATAACAACAAAAAACACGTAAAATCTCTCTTCTCTCAATTTCTCAAGGACCTAACTTCCTAATAAGTCATAATAATAATAATAAATAATAATAATAATAATAATAATAATAATAATAATAATAATAATAATATAATAATATAATAATAATAATAATAATAATATAATAAATAATAATAATAATAATAATAATAATAATAATAATAATAATAATAATAATAATAATAATAATAATAATAATAATAATAATAATAATATAATAATAATAATAATAATAATAATAAATAATAAAATATAATAATATAAATAAAAAATAATAAACAATAATAATAATAACAATAATAATAATAACAAAACAATAATAACAATTTATAATAAGTTAACAACAAATGGCACTAACAGACAGACACACTCACATCAATCACAGCGCTCGTCTTGTAGGTTGACGTGTCGTAAACGTAGGCATCGCAAGGCATAATGATACTGTTATTGGGGCGACTCGTTGAATCCTCCGTCACGTTACTGTCGGAAGTAAGAAATTTGCAAAAGGGATAGATTAATTAATAGATGAGGTAGATAGATTGATTATAGATAAGGTAGGTAGATAAATGAATTAATAGATACGGTATGTAGATAAATTGATTAATAGATAAGGTAGATAGATTGATTAGTAGATAAGGTAGGTAGATAGAGTAATTAATAGATAGATAAATAGTAGATAAGGATAGATTAATTAATAGATATAGATTGATTAGTAGATAAGTAGGTAGATAAGAATTAATAGATAAGGTAGGTAGATAAATGAATTAATAGTTAAGGTAGATAGATAAATTGATAATAGATAAGGTAGATATATTGATTAGTAGATAAGTAAGATAGATAGAGTAATTAATAGATGAGGCAGATAGATAAATTGATTAGTAGATAAGGAAGATAGAGTAATTAATAGATGAGGTAGATAGATATATTGATTAGTAGATTAGATTATCAGTAGATAAGGTAGTAGATAAATGAATTAATTAGATGAGCAGATAGATAGATTGATTAGTAGATAAGAGAGATAGACAAATTGATTAATAGATAATGTAGATAGATTGATTGATTAGTAGATAAGGTAGATAGATAGAGTAATTATTAGATGAGGTAGATAGATGAATTGATTAATAAATAAGATAGATTGATTGATTAGTAGATAAGGTAGATAGATAAA